TATTTAAATTAGTTTTTTATTCATAACTATACCTGCAACTTTGTCCGCGTGGAATTTAACTTTATTTTTCTAAAATAAAAGTAGCCTAAGATACTCCTTATTACATCAGCTACCTGCCAATAAAAGTCTCGTCAAAATCGGTCTAACCATTTCAGAGATTAGCTGGGACAAACAGACCGACAGACAGACAGAATTGTAAATAGTGGTTTTGTGGTGTTTGTGCCGTATTTATATTCATATGCTTGTAGTAAAAAACGGTTCTTTCAATATTACAAACAGACACTCCAATTTTATTTATATGTATAGATGTATAGATTAGTTTTTAACCTTCATATACATAATAGGGATGTGAGGTGCTGCATAAAAAACCGATTTGTTTTGTAATCATATTAACCGATTAAATTAATATTAATTTTTTATTGAATGATCTGTGCATAATTGATTTATTTTACACTGCCCTAATTTTTAAGCCTCTTGGCACAGATCAAGATGTTCTGGTATTTTTTATTTATGTCACAACTTGATTTATTAAATCAACAAAATTTAAAAAAACGTTATTATTTTTTATTATTAATTAAGCGATTTATTCAGTCAATATTAATTTAATAAATTTCTTTACCTGCCGTTCAGGAAGTTTTGTTTAAACGTTATAAAAACAGATCCGGTTTAACGACAATCACCGTTTAGGTTAATCGAGGTGACATACCGAGCTTGTTGCTCTTCTGGTAACTATTATACATTGTCGTTAAGTAAATGTAACCTTCTAAATCTTATATGGACATTGCAGTGTCGTTATATGCGTCTAGTTTTTAGTAATGTGGATTGTAATATTAACTATTACATGCGGTTGCGTTTGCTCTTTTGAAGTAACGATAACCTGTAATCGTAATAGTGTCTATATATTAGTGAAAAATATAGATACTACAAATATTACGGTTATTATAATACATTCTGGTAACTATAATGCATCGTCGTTAAGTAAATGTAACCTTCTAAATCTTATATGACACGCGACTTCGTTTGCTCTTTTGAAGTAACGATAATCTATAACCGTAATATTTATAGTATCTATATATTAGTGATAAATATAGATAGTATAAATATTACAGTTAATACTACAGTCTGGTAACTATAATACATTGTCGTTGAGTAAATGTAACCTTCTAAATCTTATATGGACATTGCAGTGTCATTATATACGTCTAGTTTTTAGTAATGTGCATTGTAATATTAACTTTTGCACGCGGTTCTGTCTGCTTTTTTGAGATAATATATCTATACCTTTACCGCACTTTATCATTACATCAAATTTAATGAAGATTTGTATTATCACTGAAGGTTGTTTTAGCTTAGCGCAAAATTTATTTTTAATTTATTTTATATTTTCCATATGTGTGCTATTATATGCTATTATTTTAAAGGTCTAGAAATAATAATAATAAATGGATATTATTATTATTTCTAGACCTTTAATATTGTTTGACTTATTTATACACATGTATAAATAAGTCAAACAATATTTGGTATATATATGTATTGTTATTGCTTACTTCAATTTATTGGTAATCATCATCATCATCACCATCTCAGCCCGGAAGACGAATCCACTGCAAAATTTATTTATAATATTGTTCTTTATTTACTTTCTAAATGTAGTATATAATAATTTAATTATTTTTGTATTAACATTCTAGCGTCAACTACTTACTTTATTTTCATATTCTTTCCAAACGTGAAAATACATAATTAGTTGTATATTTTTTATACGTAATTGGTAAACTTTAAAAATTAAAAAAATATTTTTATTCATGTAGGTTATTACAGAGTCTTATGATATGTCAAATCTATCGGCAGTTCGGAATGATTTCGAGATGAGAAGAACTGACAAGAAACTCGACTCGTATTATTTTCAAATAAATGTTGTACATGTTGTAATAATACAGAATTTGGGAGAACAGAATGATCACCAGCATGTCCTATTGCAAAAGCAAATAGTCTAATCAGTGTTCGTAACCCGAATAGACAAGTCCTCACAACTATCTTTATATTTACTTCAAAATGATTTTGTTTGCTTGTATTACAATTATTTAAATTAAAAACTGAAATAATCAAATCGATTGAAACAATCAACAAACCGAGCAGGTAAAATAAATATCAGGATAACCAATTGTGGTAAAATAAAGCTGCTTACTAACAATAGGTACCACTAAAGTGTTCGTTAACATATAAAAACGTCAAACGATAGTATATAATCGCACTGTTACGAACAATCGCATCGGAAACACGTTGTGTAATCGAGTTAATGTAGCATCGATTATCTAAGCCGGCGTTCCGTGCTGTGCAACTAACCTATTCAAGATGGGGATCGTTTGTTAGTAATGAGTAGACAGAGGTAGACTTTACACAAAGTGGTCTGTCTGGGTAACTCTGACTCATCAATTTGGGAGGATTTTTAATAATGTAGACTAAAAACTTCATTGTTAGCAATGTACCAACATTGTGCTAACAATGAGGAACGACGAGGAAATCAACCTGGAAATCATCGTGATAAATTCATAGTTAATCACGATGGGCTAACTGACCTGACCTCATGCTCAGTGTATCATCCTCCACTAGTGCCCATCCAGCGTAGACTGTTAGCGCAGGCTGGTGGACCATTCCATTATTATCCTTAAGAAAAAAGGACTCATCAATTTCAGCCATTGAGTTTTAAATAATTTCAAATAAAAATATTTTTTATTCACGTAGGTCTTTTACAGACTCTTATGATATTTCAAATCTACCGTTAGTTCGGAGTGTTTTCGATCCAAGAAGAATAGAACAGATATTCAGATTTTATTCGTTTCAAATGAGCTTGTATTTTTACAAAAATACAAATCCACTTTTAAACATGTTTTAACATGTGAATGTAGTGATCACCAGCATATGTATTTTTGTATGAAAGAAATAATTTAGTCAGTAGTAGTAACCTGAACAGACCAGTTCCCACGAGCAGCACCTGTTCACGTATATAACAAATAAGCCAGCCATCATTACACTGAATCATATTAGAGCGAGCACATTCACTCGGCCCACCACGCTGCCACTAGTTAGAACTACATATGTAGCAAACATATTGTTCCAGCTTGCTATGTAAGATAGTAGTTGCAGTCATTACGGGGTATAGAGCCATTACATCGTAGTCCTCTGGAATAGCAACTCATGAGAACTATCACAGGCATCACGGGATAGCGTAATGTCTGTGGTGCTGTTCATGTATGAAGGCCACTGCTGACACCTATTCTCAGATGTCTGCTTGAGTGCCATTCAAGTTACATAAAACAATGTGGACTGCTTACTACTATTCTTTTTATATCATGTAATCAGTCTTCCAGACTATAAACAGATTACGGACTACTACTACTAGTAATATACCTTATTAGCAGGGTGCCGCTTTGAAACCAATGAAGTACAATCCTTGTCAATTCGACATTCAAATTGTCGTTATAGTATTATTCCTAATTTTAAAGTCCGAGTACCCATTTCGAGCTCTTTTATAAAGAAAAAAAAAATAACATAAGGCAAATGCACCTAAAATTTGAGATCAATGACATGTTTTAATAGTTTTTGAAATATAGCGCAATGTTACACGAAGGGCAAAGTCGCAAGATAGTCACATATATTACGCCATAAAATAAATATATCACTTAGATCCGATGTTTTCCATTTTTTATTGTTTATGTGTGAAAACCTAAATATAACTAAAATAAAATAAACTAAATTGTTTCCTTTGTCCCAGTCAGCCCTTGATAACAAAATTGATATTAGATGACCTTTATTTAAATAATACATTGAATATAAGGTCAATTATATATCTATAAGATTTTCTCACTGATTATTAAGATTTTATTACGTGTGAATATAATAAAAATATTACTTCTTTAACACTACGTTACATAACAAACTAGATTTAAATCGTGAGAAAAATAACATGGAATCATGTATGCAAACTTTACTAATTTCAAAAAGAATCATAAAGATCGGATCAGAGTTTGACTTTCATGAAGTTGTAACAAACAATAATTTGGATTTAAGTGGTATTTGTGATTTCTCTCTTTTAAGAGAACTGGTTTTCATACAACATAACAAAATATATAGATATAGATAGATAATCTCACGCTATATTCGCAGTGTTATTTTTTTCTGGCACATATAAGCACCTGCCGCACCAGGGGAATCATGATGAATGAATAATGGTAATAACCTGCTCATTATAATCGACCGGTCCTTATGACATTTAAGTTTTGGCTCTATATCTTTTAGGTCTTTGCCTTTCATTATTGTAAACCAGATGAAGGTAATGTAATGCACTTTAAGTATACTAGCACAGAGCTATTAACACTACGTTTTATAAGAGCTGGTACCGCTCTAATAAGATAGAGAGATATATCGAATCTATGTAACAACACATAATGCTTCTAAAAAAGAAAACTTTGCACAGTTACTCAAGTAGTTTTGTTTTTATTGTGACGGAGTGACAAAATGCAGATAAAACTTTCGAAATTTATATAAAGAATTGTACTATGTAGCACTAAAAATATTGTTACATAAATTTATACAATAACTACTTTGTGCCTAGTGAAGTGACCCTACATAATAGGGTAAATGTAAGCTTTTAAGATACTCATATCTAGTTATTCGAATGGTGCCTAATTCGACACAAACTGGGGTCTAATTATTAATTCAATAGGTACTTACTCAAAGTTTCTATATGTTTTTGTTTTAAGCTCACATGAAATGTTAAATGGACCAGTAAAAATCTAAGCATGTATTAAAGTACATTATTTATTAACATTCTGAGTTAGTAAATAATAGATTTGTTTATTCCTAATGGAAAAGATTAAAGAATATCCTAGCTTAGTCTTTGTCTATTACTATAAATTATTTTGAGATTATTTTTTCCACAAAATAATTTGAGTAAGAATTATTGTTACTAATACGTTGTTTACTTAATTTCTTACCTGAATCACAGACAACTGATGGCACAAAACATACTATAAGACCCGCATAAATGGTCTCTAGATATGTTAATTTCTTTCCTCTCCTCATTAGATTAGATATTTTTCTATTCACATTTTCACAAATAGTTTTTTTGCACTCCATTTTTAAAATGTCAATCCAGGTAAAGTTTTTATTTCATATTACATTTTGAAAAGCAATTTAATTTAAATAACATATTAAATTATCTTATTTAATAGAAACATTTTACGAATACTTTAAACTGTAACACAGATTATGTTAAAAATGGCGGCGTTAAAAAGCGCGGGAAGACGCGCGCGGAGCATGCGCAGTGTGCGTATAATGCTTCGTCTTTTTTTTGCGGAGGCTATTCTCCCTCTATAGCGCATACTCAATACAATAGCAATAGAGTATATTCTTTCTATGATCGTGATTAATTTTCCACTCTGAATACATTTATCTCATTGTTGATGGGGTAGTCATTGTCATTGTATTTCATAATATTTTTTAGTAATATTTTGAAAATTATTCCAGTAGAACAGTTGGTAAGTAGCTTTTTAATGTCGTTTGTTAGGTAACTTATATTACAATTAATTTTTTTTTATTTATTTGTGGCAGAGACAAAGTTTGGCGAAGAGTTGCGAGATTAAAGGTAAAAAAAAATAATTAAGTTAAATTAGTGTTGTCTTTTGTGATCCTAAGATCCTTTTAATGCTGTACAAATCCTTAATTCGCAGCCACTTTGAATATGGCTATCTATGTTTTGGTTCTGACCAAAACAAGCTATTTTTTCAGAATAATATTTAAGATAAAACTTAATGAAAACAACCCCTATAAAACAAGTAGAGTGCTGTATACCACCATTAAACCTGAGATTCTGGTACTTAAAACAAAGATTCATCCTAAAATTATTATCCTTTTCTGAAGACCCACTTACAAAAGCTCAAACATATATATTTCCCCTTTCTAATTCTAAAACAGTTCCCTATATACTTTTTTCTCTGATCAATCAATATTGATCAGTGGATTTTGGAATTGTTACCATGGACCATTTGAAAGTAAATTTCCAAATATTAATATTGTAATTGACTCTGAGTTAAGGACCAAACAAGATTTATAACAAGTTGTCTAAAAAAATCCATATTTACAGACGGTTCTAAAAACAAATCGAGAACATCCTTTGCTCTATACTTACCAAGTATCAGAACCGGTCATGGAACTAGATACATAAAGAATTTAGTATTTTTTCATTTTGGCTATTTTAAGTGCACTTTGTTATATAAAAGATGATAGGGGCAATTGCAAAAAATGGTTAATTGTCACAGACAGTATGAGTGTTTTAACTGCTCTTCAAAGTAACAAACTACATTATAAAACCAATTACAATAGATAGCATTAAGCAAATATTATATGAGCTCTCATTGGAATATATTATTTTATTATGGACACCATCACATATTTTTTTCGGTATAAAAATTATATATTGGCGTTGTCAAAATGTTGCCATACCTTATTCCGACATTCTTTCTATAGTTTACAAGAGTTTTCGTCAAAAATGGATTGAACAGTGGCAACTTTCGCTAAAGACCAAGGGTAATTGGTTTTACTCCATTAACAAAAATATTCATTCCTCACCCTGGTTCACTAAATCTAAATAAAAACCGGAAATTTTACACACTCCTTATACGACTTCGTTTTGGTCACAATAGTCATTTGTGCCGAATGAAAATAATTGATTCAAATGCATGTCAAGAGTGCAATAACAGCAGTCAGACCCTAAATCACATATTTCTCGAATGTTCCGCTTATAATATTCAACGCTTGGTCTTTATTGATAATTTACTGAACATTTACAAGAAACCGGAAAAAATCCCGCGCAACATCCAAGACATGCTAACTAATTTTGAAACATATATACCTATATATTTATACGTTACCTCGATATCGATGAAACTTTAAATAATTGATACAAGGATATGGACTACGGATAAGACTTAAATTTTGAACACGAATGAAAACATAATAAATAAATATACATAAGAATTGGCCTTTGGCCTCATCACTTGTTCAAATATGAAGAAGTTTAAAAGTGACTAAAACGGTCTAAGGATCTTTGCCTGTTCCATCACTGAAAAGGAGATGGACGAATATGGAAAAAAAAAAAAAAATGTCTTTTGTGATATATTATTTGTTTTTATTTTACTTAATAGTATTTACTCTTATTTCTATTTTACTATTAAGTAGAATAAAAATAAAAAATTATATCACAAATATATTATTATTGATGATATTTTTTTATAAAAATTATATATTATCAAAAAATATCGTTAATATTGTATGTGTAAAACAACCGCCAGAAATACTTTGTTACTTACAAAAAAAAGATAGGTACAAAAACAGCTTATTTTTATTTTCACGAAAAATATTCTATAGACCACACTAGTGGTAGTGGTGCACGTACAAAATTCGCTTTCTTTATCTTCAGATACTCTGAAGATAGAGAAAGCGAATTTATTAGAATTATATATAGATAGAATTAGAATATAGATTTAGAATCTAAACCGATCACGTTCCTTTTTGAAGTCGGTCGAGTCAAATATGTGCTTATTTTTGAGATTGATCGAGTAGAAGATATGCATTTAATTAGTTGTAGCGAGTCTATCACCATCTTTTGAATTGATTTGATTTATTATCCCTGTTGTTCATTACTGGAAAATGGCACAGACATTTAAATATTATCTTTGCTATAAATTCAGAAACGTTAGTCAGTAAACCACTAGACCACAACGTCTCAGAAACGCAAAGTACTTTTTTACATATTTTATTTCTACTAAGAATAACTCGTTTTTTGGAGAATTTATCAAACCGGTTAGTTATCATAACAGCTGGACAGATGAGGCTGTTATTAGTTTTATTGTACATATTTTATAAACAGTAATACACATAACCTGTTTCTATAAATATATGAAAATGAGCACTAGTGCCATAAAAGAATACGACAAATTGAATTAACATTCTAAGACTTTTAACTGTCCATGTTTATAAATGACGATAAAAGCGCACCATAGACAACAGTATCAAGGTCGATGCATTCCCCGCGATAGTGCCTTTTCTACACTGTTTTTGTCTATAGCTTTCATTGTATTTTTTTAAATCATTAGGTTTTGGTAGTTTTTTTAAAGATCTTTGAACTATAAAAAAAATACCTTATTAAAGTGGTTTGCCCGAAATTAATAATAATTTTGTATTATATGACATTATACACTTATATAATATTTACATATCACTATTAGGTAATATATATTATGGGTCAATATTCTTACAAAAATAATATTAAATGACCTGAATTAAAAAAATGAACTACAATAAAAATAGTTATAAGTGTATGGTTATACAATATGTAGTTGTATGAACAGTGCTTTAGTCATTTTTATCTAAATTTGTTAGAACCCGGCAATAACTACGAATTTTAAGTAGATTTTGATTTATTTACACATTAATTATTCAATCAGTCGTTAACATCAATAAGAAATATTGTAAATTAAGTAAAATGTATTTCATTTATTTCTTTTTATTAATTGTACACGAATTATAAATTACCATCGTTATATAAAGAAAACATTATACGTAGTTGGAAATAATAATGTAAAAACATATTTATTGTCATAAGCAAAATGTTGAGTACATGCAACCTCCAAAACCACTTAACAAGTAAATACTATTTTTTAAAAGTGGTAAGTGTAATCAGAAGAATAAAGCGTTAATTTTAATTTATCCAAAACTGTCAAACGAATACAAAAAACTGAACTGAACAAAAACTGCATAGTCTTATATCAAAACATTCTTATTTTGATTATTTCAATATTTTTAATATCAAGTAATCCAGAAAATGTAACCAGTTTGCCATTTTGTCTATGGTGGGTGCACTGAGAAAGTGATCACTACGTAATAATGGATCTTGGTATGTAAGAAAGTGAGCAGCTACTTTACTACAAGCCGGGAACTAAATTATTTGAGAAATATACAAAAAACGTCTAGGAAATTGTCTTCAATGATAACTCAATAAACTCGATTGTAAATATTTAAGGCACAAAAGTATAAATACCATAAATATTACAAGTACATTTGTTTTTATATCGAAAATTATATTAAACTTTTTTAAATTTGACGCGGTCATTATTTATACGTATAATACGTAAAAATCACGGGATCTTACCACGTTTTATATTTATTTGCTGAGTTCCCTATATTTCGGCAGTGTTTCAACCACCATGATCACGGGTAAACTGTACTCAACAAATAAATATAAAATGTGGTAAGATACCGTGATTTTTACTAATTATACGTATATATTAAACTTGTCCAGCGTATGATATATTTTAAAAGTACTTCACAAATATAGACAAAAGTTAATTTCGCTTTCACCTAAAAGCAAGTAAAATGTATGTACCAAAAACTTTCAACTCATTAAATGTTACATTTGCTCTCCTAACAGAATCCATTACAAAGACAGCATACATTAATTAATTAGATTTAAGATAATAAAATAATAACACATACAGTTTTATTACAAATGTTATGCTTACATATTTTAATGACTTATATGTTTACTAGTTTTGACTTGCGACTTTATGCGCGTGATTTCCATTATGGAAGACTAACATATCATGCTTTTATACCGTAATTTCAATTAATGTAAAAAACACACAACTTCAATCGAATCACATCTCACAAAACGAGTTTTTTGGCGCCTAAAATAGGAAAGACTGAGATACCTACCAGACGAAGTTATTCGACGTTTTTTAGTCTACTTCGAAATAGATATGTATATTAAGTAAAATTATTAAAAATATAATTTCAATTAATTTTAATCATTTCAAAATTCTGAAATTATTGTACGTAATAAGTTGTTTTTTATGGTAATTGGTTTTTAAAGGACTTACTTATTTGTATATTTACTGATCTATATTTCACAATTAAAAAAAAATGTACATCTTTACTTGTTTTTTTAGTGTTACCAGCAGTAGTCAAAGTATTATGGTTTTCAGAAATAACCAATTTTAAGAAATAGTAATCACAGCACCACTAATTAAATGGCGATAAAAGCCCCATTAATGGCTAGATTAATTTATCGTTTAATGGAAGGTTCGAGAAATTTAATAATGATTAAATTATAATTAATCAGAAAACCGTTGAGACAATTGCACTCTTATAAAATACGATGTAGATGATTGAATCCAAGGACAATTAGCATGAAAATATTTATATAAGAATTTTATTAATTTATTGGTAAGTACTCTAATATAATTAAATAT